CTCGTTAAAATTAATTTCAGCGAGAGGATTTTCGGCACGAGAGGTAAACACAGGCGAAATGACAGTCGCGCGCGACGTGACGATACCGCGCGCGTCGTCGTCCCCCTTCGGCAATTTTCTTTTTCTCCGCTCGTCAAAGACGACGGCGCCGCTACGAGACGCGCCGTTATCTCCGTCGCTATCGTGTTTTGCGATAGTAAATATGAAACGCGAGCGGCCTGTTTTGCACAGGCGTCGTGCCCGCCATCGCCCGGCATTGATTAATCGGAGAAGCTCCCTCGCGGCGCAAAACCGTCAGTCGCGAGCGAGAGAATTAAACGTGAAAATACAAATACAACGGAGTCGAGTCGATTAACCTAACTGGAGCAGAGAGGCGCGTTACTTTTCGACGAGGGAGGCCTGACCATTTCTCGCGATTCCATTCGTCGGCCACGATCGGCCGATTTTATCTCCGCATCACCATATTTTTCCTCCACATTCTTTACGTCACTCTAACGATTGTCGTCGCTGCGCATTTTTCGCTTCAGAGTTCGTATAGCACAGCTACTTTACATGCGACGGCATGAAATTGCCTCGTAATGAAATTATTAAAAGTGTGAAAATTGAAGAAAAATCTTGAGGAAAGCTGGGACAGAAATATAGAAAATAGTGATACATTCAAAAAGAAAAACGCGCAGGCTTATAAATATTCTACGTGAATATTTGTTAATTTTTAATTTTTAATTAAAACATCAACTTACTTATGAAAGAAATTTTCTAAACACAAAAGATAACGAATAATGATTTTTTATATCACACATATACAATTATTTAATTTTTAATTACATATAATTTCAATGAATTTTTTATATCTCGCCATTAAATATATCTGTTCATTAAATCTTTTATGCTATTCTTTATTCTATACAGTGTAATTAATTCTTTTGTTTTCAATCGATAATCTCAAACTTATTTCTGTCTTACAAGGATATCTAATTATTCTAATACGATAGCCGTTATTTTCTGCCGAAGTACATTACGCGACTTATCGCGAAACTTTGGCGGCTTCTGTCAATTTCTGTAACGCCGCACCGCAACGAAACGTAGCGCCGTTACGCGATAACGTTATTCGCGCGCGATACCCCTTATCGCAAAATTAGCAATCGCCTCCGAACTGATCGCCGGTTGTTTACTACGCTGTAGTTAGTGTAGTTTGATGCGAATAATCGGTGATTGCATCCGTGACCCTATTTCTAAGTAAATAAACAGGGTCATCGATCCTGACTTTCCTCTTAAAATCTGTGGCGCTCGTACTTGTCTGCCTAAGTCAGCAAGAGAGACCTATTACATTAGCCATCTCAAATTGTGATGTCAACGAGAAGGTTACAAAATAATTAAAAATGATATGTACAACTGTCGGAACTTGAAAAAACCTATTATCAGATTTACATTAAAGTGATAGATGTAAAAACGAAGATTCTCCTACCATAAACAAATTTTAATTAAATATTGTGTTATAAATGTTAAAGTGTTACATTTAATCTTAATAATTGAAGCTTTACTAAATGTTAATAAAATATTAAATTTAAACATGCTGGGCAAACATAATTTGGAATAAATTAAAAAATAATGTAACAATATTCGCGTAAAGGTGTTGCGAAGAAAGAAATGATTTGCTGTGAGTTCTGTTTGGACATCTAGATTTCCCCGATCACTCAATGGACCGCAACATAACCAGGCCGCGGCGCGCAGCGACGGCGCAATAGTAATTAGATCAGCATTTAAGCGATAATCGGCTATCCTATAATTAGACGTGTCAGCTATTTCGTACGACTTTATCGTGCGGCCTTTATTGCCTCGATAAACTTGCGGCGCACAGTTAATAGTAATATCGTTGTTAAGCGGCGAATAGAGGAGACGCGTGCGCGAACTGCAACGATGTAGAACGCGAGCCATGACCCCGCCATGATCGCACGTCACGCATGACTTGCGTTTTTTTTTTGTAAAAATCGGCACAAACGTCCGATCGAGAATCCCTCCACATTCCGAATCCCGGCTCGTCTTAAATTCTGCAGCCTAAAATTCCTGAATTATCCATATCAGTGCAGAAGCAGCGTTTCATCGACTTTACGCCATATAGAAAGTTGAAATTTTTTCTTTCCTTTTTTAACAGAAATTTCCTATTTAGAAACATTAATAGTATATAAATTAATAACGTGACAGAATCTGTTCCGCGATAAATTACTAATTAGATAGATAAAGCGGGCGATTAGGAGAGGACGAATGCCGATACTTCTATACCAGGTTCTCCTCGAATGTCTAAATGCGAACCAAGCGTGGTCCAAAGTCGCGGCTTCCACGGCGGGATTCACGAAGGAGCTGTCATCGTTGAACGATACGTCAACTCCTCTCGCCCTGAGAAGAGCACGCGCAGCCTTCTCGGATTAGTGACTATAACTCTTACACGCGGGCGTTCTAAACACCCCGATTCACGCGACGTGGATCTAAACACGCGACGCCTCGTTGCTACCGCACGCAACCTCCCTCTTGTTACAGCGCATCCGTTCTGGATCCGCCTGGCGAGATCCTTCTATCGCGACTGTCTTCTTAGTCACCTCGTAATCGCTGCTCTCGTTAGGCAAGCTTCGAGACGCCTCGTAATTTTTTTCAGACCCGATTACAACGTTATTTTGACTTTAAGCGAGACTTAAAATTCTCGTCTTTTTTTAAACCTTAAGAGAGAGAAAAAGAGTTTTAAACGTCGCTTAAAGTCAAAATAACGTTAGTGTAGTCGGGTCTAAATGTCATATTTTTGCATAACAATCGAGTCGTTAAGTGACATAATCGAGTAAAATTGGGGTTGATAAAAATCCAAATGTAAACACGTAAAGGGAAAAGTTTGAGACAGAAAGAGAAAAATAATTTTTTTTACACTCTAAACTAATACACGTATTTAATACTTATATCTTTGTAGTTTTCGCGAATTTTTTTTCTTTTCATGTTCCATTCGTTAGAGACGAAAATTTTGCATATATAAAAAAATGTATGTTTAAAGCAAATTCAATGCAAGTATTAGGAAATTGAATCTACAATACAATCAAGGATCACATAATCGCGTTATAAAGTTTCTTTATTTCATTAATTATTAGCCTATCTCTTTCAACGCTATTCTATTACACGAAATTATTAAATTCTGTTGTGTTTTACTACAATAGTAAATTTATAACATCAACTTTGGTTGGGAGCTATTGAAATTTATATTAGCTTTAATATCTAGTGTACCGAATTTGATATGCGCGAAACGTTAAATATAATACCGTCAAGTATTATATTTAATATTACCACAGTAACAAATGTGACTGGCTAACATCAACACTGGCAGCGCATCGATTGTTCGTTTACAGTACAGAGAAAATTACGAGTTCCTTTACTCTTTGATTCGCTCTTCGAAATAAATAATCTGTTGCGCGCCTTTTGATTAGGCTTATCTCGGGGGCTCGGAACTATTATAGCGATCATCTTCCCGAGCGCGTATCTGCGTAACACAGGGGACATCGATACCCGTCTAAGGTTTCACCCCTGTAAGTTAGAGGCCGACGGGAATTAATCGGGCGAGCGGGAGCCATGTCGGCGGGGCCCCCGGTATCTCGGGGTCTATCTATCTATCTAACTATCCGGACATTCAGCGATTAGCGAATAATAAAGTCCGGTAACACGAGCCCGACGACGAAGGAGCTGCGCTCTTATCGTGCTCTCCCTCTCTTTCTCTATTATCCTCTCCGTAAATTTTCCTTGCCGACCGACCGACCGACCGACCGACCGACTCGACGATCGCACGTAGAAAGACGAGCCCCGGGCAATCGTATACCGGCGATACAGCCGACCACCGTCGAGCGACAGAGAAACCCGTCGACGAGAGAAACCCGTCTCGATATCCCGACGAGAACGAAGAACGAGAGGAATGCCACGCCGGCGATAACGAATCCTTCCCGATCCCGCGGAATCTCGTTGACCGCGGATTAATCCTCGCATCGGTCCTCCGCGACGCTTGGAAAGTTTCCGCGAGCGTCGTGCGAAATAATCCCATTGCGAAAGTGAACGCGGGAAGGGATTATTTGGAAATACGTAGACCGTTTTAGGAGCGGGTCGGCAATTATTTATAGATCTAGTCATATTAATATTCATTTCCGTGATCGTACCGCTGACTTATTAAGGCAGCGAAGACGCGTGTCTTGATATCGTTAACGCAGCGCCGGAATACCGTGGATCATCGCGTGTGAATCGCGTCGATGTGCCGCCGCCGCTGAACGCTTAAATCATACGCGTTTCGTCACCGCGAGATAAATCGCAGGGTATTTCTATGTATTTCTATGTTCCGCGGAATTAGAGGAGCGCGGCGCCGACGACGATTTCGTCGTCGGGTGGAGGAGAGAAAGAGAGAGAGAGAGAGAAAGAGACCGTAATCGTGCGTAGGGGCGCGAGAATGTGTGACTAAACGTCGCGCGGAAAGATCGGGGCTCTCCTCTCGTGCGGCGCGCGTCGCAGGCCGCCCGCGGTATATCACACTCTCTTTCTCTCTTCTCCTTCCCTCTCTCGGGAAAGTCATCTCTCGCGAAGAGGCCCTCCCTCGCGACGACGAACGCTCTCTCTCGACTACAGTTTTGTATTATTAGAACGCGGCCTTTAGCAACAACCCGCTCGGCTTCTTTCCGTTGCCGCTCCCTCGATTCGGGAATTCGTCCGGAAAGAAATTGCTATATGCTTTCTTCATTTCCCTCATTTCGTCAATCTCGAGTCAATTGAAACTGAGGAATGCAAAAACTGATGAGAGCGAATATCTTCGAATTAATTGAATCGATCAGATCCTTCTCGTATATATATATAGCGCGCGTTATAATCGGAATAAACGGAATAATCCCTGATTATTAAAACCGGCTTGTTTTCCTTCGACTCATCATAATGTTTATAGAGATAGTAAAGCCTGCACGAGGCGCTTAACGGAAGTAATGAGGAGGCTGTACCTTGATGAAGAGGCGGCAGGGGCGACGGCGACGGCGGCGACAGCTGAAACGGCTCCTGTTTGATCTTCAGAAGCGAAGAGGAATGAAGGGACTCCTGCACACCGAGTCCTGTGGCGCCATGGCCGTTGCCATTCCCCTGCTGCAGCTCCTGAAAAAAAAAACGTCACATTAAATCATTTAAATCTCTTGTCCCTTCCACGTTCTTTTCCGCGAGCGAAGAAAACTGTCACGCTATATACACTTCGATATTGTTCGGGTGGATTTAAGACTATATTTTAATTCCGTATTGTATAATAATTATTGCATAATAATTGTATGGATGCCATATTGGTGCAGTAAAGTCAATATACAGATTATACAAATACGGGAGGTGTGTGCAAATTAAATTTTTTTTCTCGTTGCGAGAGCGAGGTACAATTTCTCATCAACGAATAAACCAATATATTGGAAATAATCCTTGTATAACGTTATTCAATTGCATCACAAAATGGTTTGCGTTACATTTCGGTATTGTGCAAGAGATTAAGATTATTTTGAAAGCACATTGTATAATGAATAATTATTATTTGGCTACCATATTGATATAAAGTCAATATACATGATTATACAAATACGGATATAAATTAAATACAAGAATAAGCTGTATTGCTGTATGTAAAGGATTGAAAATTACCTATACCCATTTCTGTAATGGATAAATTAATTATAAGCCACAGGCATAACTAAAACGAGAGCTATTATTACGCACTGATTAAAAATACCGAAAATAATTTGGCTACACGCTGCTAACAATAAGAATTATTCGGATCGCCGGATAGACTGGTTATTCGGAACGATCGCGAGATCCGAAAGGGCTCGGACAGCGCGGGCGCTGTAAATCTTCGATAAAGGATGGCGCATCAACGAGGTAAATTCATGTCATCTTAAAATACTCCTTAAAACATAGTCGCTCGTGTAGTGGAGCCCGAACGACGGAGGTAAACGAACCAGGGGAAATCGCAACGGGACGGGAACGACGCGACGGTAAAGAAGTTCCTTCGAAGGAAGAAGAGAGAGAGAGAGAGAGAGAGAGAAAGAGACAGAGAGGCGAGAGAGCACCGGGCAGGCCAAAAGACTTTTGGCTTGGTGCTTGCGATATGTTTGAAGTGCCGTCACCGGAAGCTTACAAACACCGACCCGGTGTTGTGACATCGTATTATGCCGGGGCGAAACTTACGGTCTCGCTAGATCGTTAATTTGCGATCCGGTTTTACGAGGCTTCCCTAAGCCGCTTCGCGAATCGCCGGAGTCGCGAAACTCTCGGCATTTATCTTCGAACGGAACGAAAAAATATAGTTAATTGCGGATACCTACGCCGATCTCTACCGCCGTGCCCGGTGTACTTTTTTTTGTTCTATTCGATATAAGAGGGCAATTGCATTGATTTATTTCCAAATTGCAGGGTTGGGTAGTATAACTATAGTTGAAAAGTTAAAAGTTGAATATGAAGTTAAATAGTTAATAATAACTTTTAGCTTAGTTTATCACAAATTGAATTGATTGTCAATTCGATGCTACAAGCATCTTAAATATTGTAAAGAAACTTATTAAACTTAAAAAGATTTTATTTCATATCGATTATATCGATATTTCTCCTTCACTTTGTGATTTTATTGCTCATAAATTTTTTGTAAATACAAAATCTATAAACAAAATAAAACGTATTCTTAAAGGGAGCGAAAACCGAGCATAATTTTTTTCATAACGTTTTTTCTTTTAAATAGGTAAACTTTTAACTTAGAAGAAAGTTAATAAGTTAAAGTTTATATATGTTTAAAAATAACTAGTTGGAGTTAATAGTTAACTCGTTTAAAATAAACTAAAATAATGTTATAAAAAGAAAATAAATATTATCAGATTTATTTCTTAAATCACATAACGAGATGTATGCGGTACAAGATCTATACTTAAGAATTAAATACAAAAAAAAAGTTTATGCATGTATATACGTCTGTAATTGTGACAAAATGTGAGCGTAATCGTTAAAAACAACGTAATCATTAAGAAGAATTGATTAAAGTTATATTAAGCGCGCAATTCATTGCGTCAATTTTATCGTATCGAAAATAATTTCGAAGACTTTATCGTTTCCGGTCGGAATTCACAAAATTGCAATCCTTTTATGTTTGTTGCGTACATTTGCTCTCATGGACACTTAAAATTCACCGAAATCACGAGAGATCGACGTGGATCAACGACGAGCGCTATTTTATTATCAGAGTCTTGATAAAAAGTCTCGCTCTACTTTGTCACTTTTCGCATGACACTTTCGCGTGATGTTAATGAAATACTATCAGAAAATATTTAAAAAAAACCAGTCATCATTTATTAACCATTCAAAAATTATCGACGTCTCGACATCTTTGTTAAAATTGAGTAAAAAATTTTTTTGCAAACGCTTTTCGATGCTAAAAAAAATCGGGTAAAAGATTAATTTTTAAATATAAAACTTATCTACTATAAACTTTTTGAGACACTGAAGGAAACACAGCAAGAAAAGATCTTTAAATTCTTTAAGTAGAAATAGAAAAACATTTGAAAATTCTGAGAATTGATATTAAAGAATTAATAACTCCTCGACTTCTTTTTAAGTTAGTCTACGTAAAAGATATATGTAAATTTCGTTTTTAAATTTAAATAATAAACTTTTCTAATAATTGTTAAACGATCGAAAGATCTTATTGTGAAGAATACAGAAGAGCTTTAATATTCATCCTTCCATGTTTAATCATCTCGTTGAAATCCTTAAGAACTAACGAGCGAACGGTAATCAGAGTTGCCATCGATTTTTAGCTCGTATTCGCGAAGCCGATCGTCACACTAGACGATCGATCGATAGAACGGCACGCTCGATAACCCAGTTTTAATCCATTCAGCGTTGACGTCGTGGACAAACTATCGCGAGTGTCGATCGAACTGAAATTTCGCCCAGTAAATCGGAAATCGCCCAGATTCTATACCTAACCGCGCATTTTTCTCTTCATATTTCTTCAAGATGTGCGAAAAAAAAGTCTAAACTAAGCAAGGAGAGAAATTATTAACAACAATGGATCGACGAATTCTCGTTAAAGCCGCTACTCCGAAATATTGCGTGAAATTGTCGTGGAATAAATGTCGTAGAAGACATGACTCCACGAGTCGTTGTGAAATTTTTGAGGTCACGACCCCCCGACTCTTTTTATTTTTCGTTCCCCTGTTCGATGATAAGACGGGAGCGTGCATGACGACGTTAAGTCGATCGTCTTTCGCGTCGTTCCGCGAAACTGGGAAATCTCCATGAAAAAAATGCTTGTAGCATCGTTATCGAATTGAAAGATCAATTTAGTATTTAATATTATTTCAGCGTAAAGTTATATTTAGATTGAGTAAAGTTATAATTTCTTAAAAATCCGAAAGAGAGTAATCGGCGCACGGTTTATTATACATAATTGAAATTTAAAAATAAAAATTAATAATATTATTGGACCGACATCTATGTATAGCCTTGACCATATAGGTATGTTACACTTTCTTCTGTTTGTATATATGTGTTGTATACATTCGTGGCTTGAAATTATTATCGTTAAAAAAAACAAACGAATGACGGAGAAAGCGATTGCCAAAATGTAGATAAGATAACGAAGGTCTATGCTCTAATCGTTTGCTTATAAACCACTACAAGAGAAATAGGCATTTCAAGTATCTCATTTCATTCTAGCATTCCCGAGTATCTAACTGTCCGATTTAAATTCTTTATTCAACATATCGTAAATATTTTTTATCGATCGTGTAAATCCCGGACTTTTTGGTACTGCACAAATATATTGCCCACAAACATTATACCATCCAATTAAATATTGCACGTTTAATTCAACGATAAACATTAAGTATTAAATAGATCTAATTACTAATTATCACAGATTTATACCATAGATCGCTAGCTCCGAGAAATAAAATAAAGAAGCCAAGTACCTTAAGAGAGGGGGTAGTAGACATCTTTACAAGGTAATGGGTTACATTTCAAAACGTCAAAATGTTAACCAATATTATTGAATGTACACTAATACTACTTCATAAAGTACCATATGTGATTACCGGGTAAACATGGCGTATGGCTTCAACTCATCTGGTACCAAACTACTTGTTAGCGATCTATATTGAAATCTGTGCTAATTATTTAAAAAATCCTAATTAATAATTCGACTAAAATATTATAGATCCGCTAAATTCGTATCTTTGAAAGATTTTTGCCGTGAACTTACCCCAGAAACAGGGATGTGCGAGACCATCCTGGATCTGTCCACGTAATTCATAAAGGCGTCGGCCGTCGCCGCTGCATTTACCCGATGCTGCTGCAGCTGCACCCAATCACCGGTGTGGCTCTCCACAATTGCACCGCTTCGACAGATAAGGGGATAAGAGCAATGTCTCCGGAAGTTATACCGTCGAGATTTTAATGTCCGGAATCTCGTTTCACTGACACTCCGAAGTCATGCGATCGTTTCATGCTCCCGGGAATCGTTCGTGATAAGCAAAACACTCGTTTCACATCGGCGACACAATTCGCACAATATCGCAAACCGTTAGAGGAAGTTAAAATTGTCCCTGCGTGGCGGGAAAGTACATCCCAAGCGTGATGTTGCGAGCCTCGCACTTTACATTTTCAAAAAGAATTCATTCGTGACAGCCGAATGCGAATTCTTTCGACGGATTTCCTCGAGCAGGAAAGCACAATCGGGAAAATCTGTAACAGAATAAACGCACTTCTTCATCTTCTACGAATTTCTGATAGAGAGAGTTGGTCGAAAAAACAATTAAATCGAATTATTTTGAGATTGTCTAATTGGAAACAAGCCTTTTATTCACGTAAAATTTCAAGAATTACAATTCAATTCGAAAATTAAATTCAAAACAGCTTCGGCAAACACTTTTATAATTTTTTTTGTAAATATTGTACTGCATTTGTTACATATAACTATACATATATATCGCTTTTTCAAAAATGTTTAACAAATATATTTATACTTTATATTTTACAAATATATTTTATTTAAACACAGTAAAATATAATTTACGTAATGGACGTTACGCGGTTTTTATGAATAATTCTTCGATTGTATGTAATCACTGAAGATTATAAGTAATCTTGCCTCTGTTATTTATAATTGTCAAAGATTACGCGTCAAAAATTTCTTTATCAAAATCTCAGTAAGCGGTGCACTAAAGTTAGACCGCACGTTATAATTTTTGCTTGTTGTTGCTTTCCGAAGCGGCCGATTCGCGCGATGTATAATGCCGAAAGAAAAGCTGACACAATCATTAACGTAACGCTGTCCCGAATCAGGTCAGCTGACTCATCGAAAATCCCATTTCGCAGTGTCAAAATAATAAATCCAACGTAAACGGTCTTACAACCGATAAGAGATTAACTTCCAACTTCATCGCAATCCCCAAGAGCATATCAGAAGGAAGAAAAAATAAGAGAGAGAGAGAGAGAGAGAAAGCGTATGTACAAAGTTAATTATCGAAACATCCATTCGAGTGGACATTTCCAATCAAATGGACGTCAGGTCAAAGTTCGTAATTAGTACACGTACAACGTCGTCGAGACGTCGGCAAAGGAAAGCCGGTGTCTCCTCGGGAAACACGACAGGGAGAAAAACAAAAGGAGTTTAGAACGACGATCGCGGTATCGAAATTTAGGTTCCAGCGTGTTCTAAGCGAGCGGCGACACGCCGGCCGGCCGTCGGCGACGCACTATTTTCACGAGACGTGCGCGACGGTCTCCCTAAACGCCGCGTCGTCGGCTGACGGTTTCGGAGGGATGACGAGCGTGCAACAGCTGAGCACTTAGCGCCCTTAGCGACGACTCGAGGCGAGGAAAGGGATCTCGGGGGCTCCCCGGGGACTCATCGGGACTTCCGCCGGCGCGGTGGTGTTCGCGGCAGACAGAGAGAGGAACCACCACACTTCATCGTCGTCGTCGTCGTCTTCGTCCGCGGCGTCGTAAATCCCGCCCCGATCGCGGTGCAGGGTTTACGATTTTTTCGGGATCGTTCCCCTCTTATTTAACCGATTTCTAAGCGCCTTTCTTTTTCTCTCTCTAAAATCTCTCGGGATTTTTTTCGATGGCAGTCGCGATCATGAAGCGAGTTAATGAAGGCGCTCTTATCAATCATTCGCACAGTCAAACCGGGCCAAAGATATTTATATATCTGTTGACGGGAAATCTCGCTTCGACGTTGTCCCCTCGTCCCCCTCTTCCCGTCGATTAGATTATGTGTTTGTTAGGCGACATTATAATTCTTATATATCTCCGCTAATTCGTAATCCGCCGTAATTCTGTTTGTAACGAAAGGTCTGTTGCGAGAGGTCGCGAGTGATAAGAGACGTGTAAACAGTTCTACTAATCAGCGGTCTCAACGTTTTTTTTTCGGAACTTACACTATAATGTGTATTTACAATGCTCAATGTTTCCGAATTGCTCGAAAAAGATTTCGCGAATCGCGTAAGCGTATTCTTTTATTGTTTTTTCTTAATATTAAATTTTACATAGAAACGCAGGAAAGCTTCGAGATTTTCAGGTATAATTTCCTATTTCTGAAAAAAACGCGAGCTGTCCGTAAAGATAGGAATTTGAATTTATACGTTCGCTACAGTAAAAAATTTAATGATTGATAAAGTTAATTACTACAAATCTCATTGCAATTTACTTCAAATTTTAGAATAAGATTTTTTCAAAATATTCTGTATTTACCGAATTGCTAATTATCTTATTGCTGTAATTATTTCACAAGGGTAAGGAAATTTCGATTTTTTTTCAACAATTCGAATTAATGCAAAAATAATATCTGGGTATTTTCTTCATTTGTTAGAATATTCTTTGTCTCTTATTAATTAGTTGAGCAATTATATAATTATACGAGAGTAGCCGCAGATGAAATAAGTTTTCATGAAAAAAAATCTCATAATAAATATACAAATAAATAGAATAATTCTTTTTTCATCGTTTTTCGTTCATCGCTTTCATCTGCCGACGGCATCTCATACAACCTTATTGCGAGATGTAAAGAAATAAGTTATGTTTGGATAGCAAAAGAAAGTCATGAAAGAAAAATGAAAGAATCGTGAAACATCTTTTCTCGCTTCGCTGAGCCATCAGGCACATCTTCGCTAGCATTTGAAAAATATACCCGGTTTGTCACGGTTAAATTCTTGCAAGTTATGTCCATTTCTATATTAATGTAGATTAACTTTAATCTCGGTTCAACTTAATTTTTGTCTTTTTCTAGTTCTTAAGAATTAAAAGAAGATAAAGTAAATAAATTCAACCGAGATTAGAGTTAATCTGCATTGGTAGAAATGGACCTCAAAAAAAACTTCCACGCATTTGTTAGTTTTGGACGTAGGGACTTAATCCCTTCGTGTCTTGGACAAGAACGATGCGCGTGGTATGTGTACCCGTGTAGAAACGTGGTTTTTCAACGCGAAATGCGACGATAATGCACTGATCGTTAATCGGATTCACGTGAGTGAATCTCTCTCTCCTCCGGGAGCGGACAGGAGGGCGGGCGGCGGCGCCGATCCGTCGGTCGATCGTAAACTCTTTTTCACGTTTATGCGGAGAAAACTCCGCCTTATCTTCCGTTACGCGCGCGTTGCGGCAAAAGAAGAGGAAATATTTATCTCGCTGTTTAGTAAACAGCCGCCCGTCCGGACCCGGCTACAAATCGGTCGCGGCCGCGGAACCAAAGTTTACAAACTCCCCCGGCCCGGCGATCTCGTGCGCCTCCGCGAGTCTTTGAGAGATAGCCGAAAAAAATGTATGTTGTACACATCATATTATGTACGCGCGAAACCGGCGGCGGCACGCGCAACGACAACTGCTGACTTACTTAATTCTTCTTCTTCTTCCGTGATAATGAAGAATTTCATTCATCGCGTACCTCGCGCGCGTCCTCCCTCTTTCGCCCCTCGATCAACGATTCTCGTATTACGAACTGATTAATCTACGAGATGATTCGATTAATGCCCGATTTGTAAGTTATGCACTGAGAAAAAAAATTTGTTGAAAATTTGTTTCATCTTTATACCAAAATATTTAATCTGATACGTTCAACCAAACGTTACTATACGATGAAACAAAATAATTTGTTACTTATTATAAACGAAATACTATTTTTTAACTGAACTATTTTGTTTCAAAAAATTTATCGTATTTAAATCAACCGTTCGATTAAAAATACATATTATTTGTTATCCCCATCAGTATTGTTTAGTCAATTTGATACTTAGAATTTGAACAAATAAATTATACTTGAATAACTAAATAGAACGCAAACACAAATAAATACTACTAGCATTTCAAACAAAATAATTTAATTGAGTTTGGTTTAGTTAATTCTTGATTTAAAAATTTTGATGATGAATAAACTATATACTTTTCTTTGTGCAACTAAAGAATTGTTGAATCAACCATTGGATCAACAACTATACAAATTTAGTTCGTACAATCAATTTTTTTTTCTCAGTACGTCTGTCAGCTTATAACCATTGACAGTTCGATCGAATCTTCAAAAAAGAAAATAGACGCGAGATGTCTCCGTACAATTCTGTGATTTTTAGGATTGCATGATGTGATGTATTACGAAAATGACATATAAATATCACCTGCTATAATTTTAATTAATTCTCTATAGGTCGTTCAGCTTTTTAGAGCGTAACGCTAGATGTGATATACGGATAAGATAACGATATAGGCAATTATGATAAACTACGTTTAATTACGTTTATCTTAAGGAACGCACGCCAATTTTTTGACAGTATAATTAGATCTTAATTGTAAGGGAGAATGTTATTAAGCAACGATGAAACGGTATTCTAAGTCGAAACAACTGAATAATGTTTCACTAGTGAAACTCTTTGACTCATCGCTCATAATTTTGAGTTTCTTTTTTTATTACAAAACATATACGAAAGAGAGAATACGACGCGATAGGCGCCGTCGCTTCCCGACGGCAAAAAAATCTTGTGCTCTGCTTATAGTCTTTGCGCGCGTAAAATTGCACGAATAAGGAGAAATCACATCATATGTATTAATAAAAATGTATCGCATGTTTATGTAACTTTAGATATTTTTTTTACAGTGTGGCTATATGTATAGGAAATTTTTATTGATAGCATTACAGAACATACGAAAGAGAAAATGCGACGCGATGTCTGCCGTCGGCACCGTCGCTTCCCGACGGAAAAAAATCTTGTGTTTTTAGTTTTAGTCTTTGCGCATGTAAAATTGCATGAATATAAGAAGAAATTACACCATTTGTATTAATAGAAATGCATCACGTAACTTCAGATATTTTTTTCACATCGTGGCCATATTCGAAATCTTTATTTCTTGCATGTCAAACGGAGCAAAATGCTATCCTTGTGAGAGAGAGAGATTTGAGAGAGAAACGATAGATGTGGCAAGCACACCTAAGAAGAACAGGCTTGAGATTAATCTAAAAATACAGAGTCTAGATAATCAACAAAACTGCAGTTCGGGCTATTATAGCGAATTTAACTAAAATCCGCGTAACCGCGATTGCTGAGATACGCGATGCAAATTTCATTAGACAATTCTTTCAGCTCCTTATTGTCGATAATTGTTTATGTTTCTGTGTCGTCTGGTCATTCGCGTGCAACAGCCCGGTGCAACCATTTTTCCGTCATACGACAATAAAACAGAACGTCGTGTGATTGGAGCGAGACACGCTTAGGGGGAAGGGGGGAGGGCATTTCACGCGATTAACTTGTCATCGAAAGAGGAGAAAAGAAAAAATAATAATAGCTTCGTATCGTTTACCTACCTTGCTGGATCCTTGCGTAGAGCTTGCGAATCGAACTCCCCTTCGTCGAGTCACTTCGTTCACCGCGTTCACCAGGAGGGCAAACGAGACGCCGACGCGGCTACGCGTCGCGGAAAACTGCGTGGAACGGCCGACGGAGTGCGAATCTCTCGAAGCGCGGAGCGGACCGGTCCGCGAGCAGCAAACGCGACAAACGGACGCCGGGCCGGGCGACGCGGACGACGAGATGAAACCGCGAGGCGAGCAAGAGGCGAGATCGAGACTGCGGGCCGCGAAAGAAACGACGACCGGCCGGGGGACCGTGGCGACTCCGTCGGCGCGCCGCGCGTGTGGTGGGTACGACGCGAAGGGAGACGTGGAGGACCAGGTCGGAGGCACTCGGAGGCGGAGCGTATCGCGTCAACTTTAGACCGCCCTTCTCGACGCGCGCCGCGGCCAGCCCGCCCGGCGGCAATTTCACGTCGCGCCGTGTCGGCGTCGCGGACGCGTCTCCGCTGCGCCGCGCTGCGTCGCGCCGATGATGACGATTTTTTTTTTCTTCATTTTCCGATTAGGCACTAAAATGTTTAAGCGTCGATTCTTATGCGGGATTTATTTTTCCGATCTCTCTATTTTCTCTAATTCAGAACTTTTGAGGAGAGGAAAACGCAAGAATGTGTAATTTCTTACGTTATTAAATCTCTTACGTAGTTGTATTTACTTGCAATTAGCTTATTTATAAGTATATATATTCCTTGTAATTAATTTAGGAAAAGGGAGGCGAAAAATAGTAGTGCAACTGTAAGGCGGTATCTAAAATTACAAAAGGAGACTTATATCTAAGACATCCCGCGTGTCTTATTATGGCTCGCATTGACATTATTTAATTATTTCTAAGAGATATATAAAGATATCTATAAATTTTTATCCTGAACAGCGTTTCACGCATTGCTTTGTTTCTCTTTCGATATATTCAAAAATGAATTCATATTGCATTCTCGAAACTCAAATTCCCGAGATTTTTCTTCATCTTTTATCTTAAACTCAACACAGCTCCATAATTAAAGTAACTGTATCATAATTCGTCTCTCATTAATTGGGACTGGAAACACATCCTGTGATGCATTCAGACATAATATCTTGCGTAAATCTGTAAACCCTTTCAATGATTTCTATGATTTATGATTAATAAGAAATTCTGAAATTACTTATTTTGAAATTTCTTTTTCGGCCACATCTAAAAACACGCCAGCAACTTGGCCAGATCTGAAAAAAATGTATGCCAAAATTGCCAAACCGATTCCGACGGCGGACGCTTATACCTAAAGCCTAATCCGCGAAAAAATCGTGACAGACCGTATATGTCGGTCGCGGAATTATTATGTAATTACGCTTACGTCGCGTTTCGTGAGGCGCGTTAAGCAACCATTGTTTTTCGCACGATCGCTTAATCACCGATTAGGATCGATGTCAGGAATTAAGGTCAAGAGAACGAGACCGCGTCGCCGAAATCGCTGACGAAAAGATATCGCGACTCGTATGCACATTCGCGATTAAATGTATCACGAAGATACGATTATTCGGCAATATTACGCTCTACTCGCAATATCTGCATATCATCAAATCCACAAAAATTCTCTTTTAACTCCTTTTTACATTAATATGAAGATCAACGAATTGATTCTATTCCAATAACGCACCTACTTGTCTTATTACGAAAGAAAAACTTGAGATTTATTATTGAACAGCTCGGGTAAAAACGAGATACTAAATGTGCAGAACATATTCGAATTAATATTATAGAATCCAAGTATATCTAAAAATGAATTTTGCGAATTAGAGCTGATAAACAGAAAAATTAGAAGTAGTAAGACGTAAATAGTAAAGGGATTACAGTCGAAAACGTAAGTAGCAAATATCGTAAGTATAGCAAATCAAATATGTTGATTTGTTTACTATTTACGTCTTTTATATGCTAGGATTATTATGGACTAATTATTCTATAATAGATTTCAATCTCAATCAATTGAAGATAAAGTTTTTTTAGATCAAATTGCGATTAATTGTTCGCGAAAGTTGTCACAAATAAATAACAAAATTTTATCCTTTCTATTAGCATTATTTAACATTGAAATTTTAAGAGATAGAAATAGATCGAGAGAAGGAGAAAGAGAGACAAAGAGAGAGAAAAGAGGATAAAAGAGAGAAGAGAAATACGCTGATGCTAAATTAAATCATAATAAAAGAGAAATCATTGCATAATGATTTCTTTCGAACAAGAAATGTATTTATCAAAATTCATCCCTTTTATTCATACATGGTGTAAGCATGAAGTATCCTTAAGTAACGTAATTAATTAAATGTAATTTCTATATACATTTGCAGCGGATTTCACGATACGTTTGCCGCCGCACGCAGAAAGGACGAGCATCGAAGGAGCCGAATCACGGAGGGAATGACGTATCGATAGATAACGCGCGACCGCGCCGCAAAATGTCGCGTAAACGATACAGAGGGTGAGGGAGAAAGGAGCGGAAACCGCGACGCCATGTTGGGGCGGCATCCGCGAGCCGCACGCTTCCCGCGATTGGTCGAAGGTTTCGTTCCGAAACATCAATTCAGTGCGCACTCGTGCCTCAGCCCCCCCTCCCCCCGACTTCTGGCTAAGCTTCGCATTCGATCCGCGAATCCGCGACCGACCGGCGATACAGGAAAGGAACGCGAATCCGCCGCTTAATGGCGAGCCGTCCGTAATTCCGTGCGAACGCGAACGCTTCCGTGCCCACTTTTCCGCGCTCGCGGAGGGTCTCGATTTAACCGAATGAATCGACCGTTAATTCTGGACTGACCAGAGACTTTCAGAAAGACGAATTTCATGACGTGCAGTCGCGTGTATTTCGAGTTATAATTCGAGAGAAATTTCGTATAATTATGGAAAGTATATAGAACTTTACAGGTCTGTTCTTTGTAGCTGCATTGTGTCATACATTCCACACTTAAAAAATACATAATTAGATACTGAAGAGAAATAGAAAAAAATGAAACAGTATACGGAAAGCTATACTTTCAGCTACTGCAGGAACTAATTGATATGTGAAGCTCCTATATATTTATGAATGCAGTTCACTTGACACTACAAATGCTTCGAAGTATTTGCAATGATTGACCAATCAGAAAATAGAATTTTATACTAATTGATCAGACAAAAGCGTTTGTGGCATCAAGTGAACCGTAGCCTGCATCATGTCATACCTACATTCAATGCATTACATAATGAAATAGTAGTTTTTCGAATCGAAACGAAATTTTCGCAACAATTAATAAGTAACAAAAATTAATGTTACGTCATCTTTCAAGTCGACACCACCTCGCTAGATTTAGATTAATTATATCAAATTATGTCTTACAAGACGTTTTGGATGTTTTTAGATAGCTAGTCTAAAGTTTTGAAAAAATTCATCTGACGTTATATAAACGTTATATAAACGCAGCAACTCATCTGAGAAAATTAATTGTCATTCTAATATTTTGTAAATTTCATCCGATGTAATCGCATCCGTTAATCGCATCCCATGTAATCGCATGTGAAAGATTTTTTTAGTAATACGTAATTAAACGATTCTACTTAAATGAGACGTTTAAATTAATTTATCTTAGTTCTGATACTTCTGATAATTTATGGGTTACATATATATTTCTAATATTTTATACGGAGAAAATTTTTTTTAAATTTACCCTGCAAATCATGTTAATTGCGGGACAATATAGTATTTAGGAAAATTTTACTGTGCGCACTACAATAAATTTGACAGTAGTAAAATACAGTAAAATTTACCTAAATACTATATTGTCCCACAATTAACATGATGCAGGGTAAATTTAAAAAAAAATTCTCTCCGTGTATTGTTACATATTTTAATGAAATTTGTAAATAATACAATTTTTTTGCAACATCTTATTGTCATATAACAAATTGTATTATAGTGGCTTGTGTTATTAAAACTCCACGAGCATGAAGATGAATATTACTTGTGGATTACTTAAAAAGATTTTTTCTAAAATACGAAGCGCGAAAGAGGACCGAATTTCATGCAATTCCATCTTAATTACCCGCGGTCCAGATCGGAGCGGAGGATTAATCAGAGGGGGAGAGGATATATAGGGGAGATTCACGAGGGAAATCGCGGATCACGCGAGTTTGGCGACAGGAAGGGAAACAAATGGGAACAACGGTGGTCAAGCCGCGGCCGCGGATATATTTTTCAGCTGCCTCATGGCCGGGTGCGCGATTTGTTGACCGAATGCTGGGACTTACGGACGCCGATGTTGCTGATATAGCGGGGTATTGTTAACCCGGCACAATGACCATGTTTAGCAACATCGACCGACCGGTCGTGTTCGATTGTTCGTAACCACCCTCTCTGCCCCTTTCGTTCCCCGCGCTGCGGTCGCTATTGCGCTATTGTCGACAAGTTGCCTCCGCCGCAAGAGTGGCGATTGACTCTTTAAATCCGTTCGTTCATTACAGACATTTAATTTCTGATGATTTTGGTCTCTATACACACTGCACATGCAGTTTTACCTCGAAGAGAAAATTATATACAATCGCATCTTTCTAAGTCTTGTTTACCGTTTCTGATGAAATAAAAATGGTAATTTATCATTAGAATAATTATTTTCGCGCATGTATGGAGTCTTTTACAATTAACCATTTTTCATATCTCTTATCGGGAGGAATCTATAGCTCTTATATCAACTCTCATGCGAGAACTTTATACAATTAGAGTCGTATAACAGTCGTAGGTTTTAAGTAATAGGAAATTAACCTGCAATCACAGTGGAATATGACAATAAATCAATCGATCAATTTCCTATGATTTAAGACTCTTGTGACTCCTGTTTGTAGACCCCGCATTATTACGAGATCCAGTTACACTTTCGCGAAGAGTCGCTTTCCGGCAGCAACAGAGACTTCAAACGATATTTGCGATCGATCTCTCGTCGGCGCTCTCGAGCGAGCGGTTATCAAAAAGCGATAAATCGCAGACCAAAGAGCCTTTATCCTATAGTCGATCAGGCTGGAAAAACGACCGGGAGAAACGCGAGAAGGAGTCCCTGTTTTGATTGGATAATGTCAAAGCAAACTGACCTTCTCGGGCCCGAACTAATCTCTCCCTCTCTCTCTCTCTCTCTCTCTCTCTTTCCATCTCGGTCCCGTATTCGGGGCTCATCCCCTCGCGTCGGTTTTACTGCCGTTTTATAGTCGTTTGTCGCGGCGAGGCGAGACAGGGGCGATTACCACGCGGTCACGTTCCGTGCGCCGGGCGTATAGCTGTGACTGGAAGCTCCTCGTCTCGCGCACGGAACGCTCACGACACGGCATACGGTTATTCCTCAGCGTTAAATGCATTCGCATAAATGGAACGACGACCAAACGTAACAAGGGGAAGACCTCGGGCAAAAGGGATTAGGAAGGCCACGAGCGCGAGAAATTTGGAGAAGGCCGCCGGCAATAAGAGCAAATGGGAATGTCTAAGGACAAGGTTTTTTAAATCTAGCATGATACTTATCTAAATAAATGCCCATTAAAATAATTATTTTTTTGCAAATACCAGTGAATCTTTTATAGTTTGCTTATATAATTTTTTAATTTCATGTATATGTACACATTACCGGCCAAAAGTATGAAATATTTTAATTGAAAATATCCACTAAATGAAATAAAATCAAACGTTATGAATCACAATTTAATATGTTTTTATTATTTCACTTAATATACAATTAATATATTTTTATTATTTCATTATTTTATAATGCAATGAAAAACAATATATAAAATGAAATTTGAAAGAATGTTAGAAAAAATATTTTTTACAAAATTCTTTGCAAGAAAAGCACATAAGAAAATATCACATATTTTTTCATCAAAGTAGCTATCTTTACATTTAATTTATCCTTACATAATTTTATTGATCTAAGTATTTTTGTATAAATCTGCTGAAAATTCATTAATTTTTTCTGACTTTAAAATTCTTCTAATCATCTTTTAAAATAGCTTGCGATGCTCTTCATTCGCATATATCCATCAACAAAAGATCTCGACTCTGATTGACGAGCCTTTAATTTCATACATTTGTCTATATTGCCGGCGGATCGAACAGTCAGCCGAAACGAGAGCAAGAAATTCTATGAATTCTTCGAACACTGAAATGTCTCCGAAATGTCGCGGAACGCAGGCAGGACATTGTCGTCCCGACGCGAGAGAGGACGTCGTAAATTATTTGTATAGCTAAGACTGTGACTCTCGTCCCGGGCGACGGCTTCATATTTTAGCGTTGCCACGAGGCGTAAATGTTTACGTTAAAGGCGACCCGCCGTCGCATAATATTGCCTTATCCTTTACCCCGCGCGACGGGCGTGTTGCTTGCACGCGCGCGAGAGCGAGCCCTTCGCCCGCAGTCCGCGCCGCTCGTAAAAACCCTTGCCTTCCTTCCCCTGCCCCTTCCCGCCCATATCGAGCGGGATAGATTGGGCCGAACGAATAATAACATATAAGGCTCCGTTCACGAATAAGTCAATCGGGAGAGGGCTCAGGGAGGAGTGGAGGGCCGCGCTGCCGAACGGAAGCACGTTTGTCGATTCGATTCGAGTCCAATAAGCGAGATTCAGCAGAACTCGCTTTCTAGATCGGTTTAAAATAATAAATAAATAGTAAAATAAATAATACCGATCGTTACCATTCAAATGAAGACGGATAACTTTATTCTAGACGTGCTCTCTTGCAAAATTTTTTGATACTGGAGATCAATAACTCTGGAATTTTAAATATAAAGAGCTTTCTGTTCCAATTTTATAATAGCGAAATAGATAATTAACGTAATGTGATTAACGCAATCTTTCATAAATCTTCCAGTTTTAACTAATATTTCAACAATTGATTACACGCGTATAATTAAACCTGAAAGCGATATATGTGATTAAAAAATCTTTCGGTTCTAATCAATTAAATTTCTTGACAAGATTATCCATAGTTGACATCAAAAATTTATCTCTTATGATTTTTACAAAATTTTGTTGTATATATTATACATATATTCTATATCATTATAATATTAATTATGTTATTATAATTAATATTATTACAATATTAATGTAATAATTGACTAATTATCTAAAATTACAAAAGTGCCAAGGTGCTAAACTCCGATTAATTTATCAAGTGACTTTTATTGTCTTACATGATAATTTATTATATGACAGAATTATTAATTTTTTTTGGGCATCGCATAGAAGGACTTAAGTTAGGGATGACGAAATATACGAGTTAGAACTGTAAATAATTGCTGTAAAAGCAATTCGTGAATTGCCAAATAAATTAATTCAATCGACTTCAATCACTTATGGCGGTTTTAATTAAAGTCGCCATTAACTTCTCAATTAATATCTATGCTACTATTTTGTTAATATGAGTAGAATCAATTGTTAATTTCTTATCGTTTAATACTTAAAAAAAGAATTAGGACTACGATGAATTATATACTTATACAAATTTTGCTGGAAGCAATTCTTTAATTATTTTTTTTCAATTAAATTAATCGGAATTCCATCAAAGTCATTCTCGCAATTAATGCAATTTCTAGATTTTTTTTCTAACATTCGAAAGATAAATAAATCACAGCATCAGGCTATTGTTCATCTGGCGTCATCTAGTTACGCAAATTCAAAGCACGATATTCAAAGCACGCGTATTCTAGCAGAGAGAAGCAAGAGAGCAGCCATCCTGGCCTTTTCCCTGGGACCGTCCTCGTAGCGCAAGCACATACATCCATTTTTGAAATGGATACTATTATACGTAGCTACGTGCATGCTCGACGTGATTACGATTTTATCGACAATGGCAGCAATGTTGCGCATAAATTCGGTGCTTCGTTTTCCTCATCGACCGTCATTATCCAATTAAATATTAAATAATATTCTAAACATTTTATCATTTAATTCTTGTAAAAAAAAGCGTACGTGTCATGCATTAATAAACGCACAACGTCGCTAATATAATACATATAAAGATATTTTTTAAGATTCGGCCAAAATCGCGCGTACAGGTGTTCAATTTTTCACTTTTTTCTCGCCGACCGCCATTATGCAATATATTATGAAACGTTTTAGCATCAATTACTAAATAATACAATATGATTATTTGTTACCTTTGATACAACCAAAATGCGATTTGATAATGTTATTATCATCGTCGGAGGAAGCTATATAGTATCCATTTGAAAAATGGATATACGGCGTTGGTATATGGAGGATTTTGACGGTCCCACGTAAAAGACGCCGGGATGACCCGGGACGACTGCGCTTGCGGCCGCGTCAGCCGCTCCTCATGCGCATGCCCGGCGCCCGCTCGTGCTTCTCTCTGATTTCAGCATTGGCCTGACATCTCTTGGCCGTCACAAGTACTTGATAGCCATCTGTACACGTGCGCGCTTTCTAACCTCTCGCAGCTGGTCACTGGATTTACAATAATTTATAAACAGCTCGAAGGAATTAAAGCTACCGAGGAGGGAAATTCGCGCTGTGTAACGCAGCGTTTAAATGAACGCGTACAAACATGTTAACAACAAAGGTCTTTTTTAGAAAGACGAAGGGAGGGAATATATTCAAGGTATGGGTATTGGTTTTTATCTTACAGAAATTTTTCTAGAAATTTTCTGAATATAAAAATTGAACTCGCTATCTTGATCGCTTTATCGAAAAAAAAAACTATTAACGAAATATAATAATTTTTCTCTTATCAGACCGTCAGAGAGCACTATCTCAGAGATGACATTTACTGCGGCTTCAATTCGTGCACAAGGTGCAAAACGAGGCTTCGGGATATGGTGCTGGACGTGGAAGAGGCTGGCGCCAAGTCCTCCTTAATTCCAAGCCCATATTTTCTTGTACTCGACACGAATATAATTCTGGATCAAGTAAGGATTTTATCCAACGTGCGATCGTAGTGTTAAGCATGACGAGTCTTCTGTCAGATTGTTCGAGCACTTTTGATTTCTAATTACACAGATAGACATACTGGAAGAGGATGCCATCGCCAATGTAATCGTCCTGCAAACAGTACTGGAAGAAGTTCGGCACAAAAGTGCCACCGTGTATAAAAAATTGAAGCTTATCATAGGGAATGCAAGGAGAAAGTTTTTCGTGTTCATCAACGAACATCATCGGTGTGTGTGCAATAATTATTACATGGTGGTAGAAGATTACAGTTTATGTTTAATGTTACACATATCTGATATCACACATTCTGTCCTTAACAGTTTATTCCTGACATGCTTTACACTACATTTTTGATTTTATGTTTTATGTTATATTGTTCACTAACTATATTATGATATGTTGATTTCAGGGAAACTTATATGGAGAGGGAACCCGGTGAAAAGATAAACGATCGTAACGACAGAGCGATACGGGTTGCGGTTAAATGGTACAGTTCCCATTTGAGCTCTGATGATAACAATATAAAGATTGTTTTGCTAACCGACGATGTCGAGAATAGAAGACGCGCAGCCGAAGATGGCCTGTTTGTTGTGTCGAGTAAGTGTTATCTGATTTCATTCTATTACATTAAGTTATATTATTTTGATACGAATATGGTATTTATAATAACCCATACATTATTTTTCACAGTGGAAGATTATATCGCGTCGTTGGAAAACGCAAGTTTCCTGCTGGATAAATTATGCAAACGTTCTTACTCTTCGGACATTCAAGGCCCGGATTTGTTTCCCTGTCATCTAACACCCGTGGAAGTGCACAACGGCATATCGTCTGGGAAACTGTTGCAAGGGACATTTTTGCAATCCAGGGAAAATTTCCTCGAAGGAAACGTGAATGTTGAGGGAAGAGAAAAACCTGTAAGATACATAATTGTTTGTGAATATTTAAATAGTATCTTTAGTGTTTGTAAATTGTATCTATCTCTCAAGAAGAAAATCATTGAATGTCTATTTGAAAAGTAATAATAAATAATTTATTTGAATCAAGATTATAAGATACATATAATTTTTTGTGAATTTTTAAATTGGATGTCATAAATATGAAATGTAGCTGAAACTTTTTAAACTTTAAAACTTTTATTAAGCATTATAATAAATTTTTCCTTGAATTTAATAATATATACGCAACGTGTTTGGAAGAGAGAGAGTGTCATTGTTTCTATCATCTCATTTTTATTTTAGATATTTGTGCAAGGACGATCTCATCTCAACAGGGCAGTCGACGGTGACATAGTCGCGATTGAAATGCTGCCAGACGATCAGTGGTCATCGCCCAGTGAAATTGTTTTGCAAGATGAACAAACTGCGGATGCTGACGACGTCACAGAGGATGAGAAAGCACTCCGCAAGCAGAATTTATCAAAAGCGCAAGAGAAAATACCGACGGGAAAAATTGTTGGTATTATCAGGCGAAAATGGAGACAATATTGTGGAATATTGCAGCCGAGTGCGATTAAAGGAGTAAGAATATAATTTTGTATTATATGACATATGATAAGAATTTCTTTTTATCTATTGTATTTGTTTTTTTCAAAGAATGTAAGGCACTTGTTTGTCCCGGCCGAGAGAAAAATTCCGAAAATAAGAATTGAGACCAGACAGGCCGAGATATTGAGTAAGCAGAGAATTATTGTCGCACTCGACTCGTGGCCGCGAAACTCGAGATACCCGCTCGGCCACTTTGTGCGGGCGCTTGGTAATATCGGCGATAAAGAGACGGAGAACGAGGTATTGCTCTTGGAACACGATGTTCCGCACAGCCGTTTCTCTGACGCTGTTCTTAGCTTCCTTCCCAAATTACCGTGGATCATCACGGAAGCCGTACGTACATATATTTAATCAAATTCATTTATTAGCTAATTATATTGATTGCACAAAGAGTGATTTAATACATAAGAGTAATAATTAGATAAATGTAGTTATGCAGAATTGCTGTAAAGAATTATAAAATAATATATTTATATATTATTTTATAATATACAAATTCTTATAGGATGTTGCGCAACGAGAAGACCTTCGACATTTAGATATCTGTTCCGTGGACCCGCCAGGCTGTACCGACATTGACGATGCACTACACTGCAGAAGTTTATCGAACGGTAATTTCGAAGTTGGCGTGCATATCGCGGATGTATCCCACTTCATAAGACCCGGGACCGCGCTGGACAAAGAAGCAGCGTTACGCGCTACTACTGTGTATCTTGTCGATAAACGAATCGATATGGTACCAGGTAAGACAACAGCATTCCATTTTCAAGTAACATTACAGGCAGTTCGAAATTGTAAATTATACAACATAAAAATGTTTCTTTACTTCTTCAGAATTGCTCAGCTCGAATCTTTGCTCCTTGCGAGGTAAGGAAGAACGATTTGCGTTTTCCTGTATATGGGAAATCGATCCCGACGCGAGCATAGTCAACACGCGATTCTGCAAATCCATAATTTGCTCGCGTCAAGCAATGACGTACGAGGAAGCTCAATTGAAAATCGACGATGCCACTCAGCATGATGCTATCGCGATGTCATTGAGAGGATTAAATCAGCTGGCAAAGAAGTTGAAGAAGAAACGTTTGGAGAATGGGTATGATTGTGTATTATTTGATCCAGATGTGATACTTGTATCGAAAATTATTCTAAGTTACATATCGAATCACTTTTCACGATAAACTGCATTTTTCTAATATTAAATAATTTACTTGCAGTGCCTTAACTTTGGCATCACCGGAGATACGTTTCCAAGTGGACAGCGAAACGCACGATCCCATCGACGTGGAGGCGAAGAAGTTGAGAGAGACTAATTCTATGGTGGAGGAATTTATGCTGCTTGCAAACATTAGCGTCGCTGAAAGAATATTGGAAGAATTTCCGGAATGCGCTATGCTGAGGAGACATCCCGAACCACCGCAAAGTAATTTTGAACCGTTGATTAAGGCTGCCGAAAATCAGGTATTGTCGTTTGGCTTTACACACAATTCCAATCTTACAATCAGTTAGATATTTAATACCTAAAATTTTAAAAATTGCAGAAAGTGTCTCTTCCTTTTATTTTGAAGATTAAATCCGAGTGATAGCTATACAATATGTATGTTTTTAAAAATTAACTTTACAGGGCTTCACTATTAATACAAACACCGGAAAGGAATTAGCCCGATCGTTGGAGGAAACTCATAAGGAATCGAATCCCTATTTCAACACGATGCTAAAAATATTAGCTACGCGATGTATGTTGCAAGCGGTATATTTTATCAGTGGAATGCATCAACCGGAAGAATTTAAGCATTACGGATTGGCGTGTCCGATTTACACGCATTTCACATCTCCTATTCGAAGGCAAGTCGCTTGAAAATCATTAAAGGAGCGTGATTATTAAATTAACTCGAATTCACTAAATTTCAATTCCGTTTCTTAATGTATCCTACAGATATGCGGATATAATTGTGCACCGACTGTTAGCTGTGTGTATAGGCGCCGATGCGACGTATCCAGAGCTGTTGGATAAGAAGAAGAATCACTTGTTGTGCCACAATCTGAATTATCGGAATCGAATGGCGCAATACGCCGGCCGGGCGTCAGTCGCACTTCACACACATGTTGGTTCGATTTATTACGACGATCTCTCTTCAATCTTTCTGTACCGATATGGAATGTTATTTGTAATTTTAACGAAATTGTTTTATCCATTTCAGATATTCTTCCGCAATAAGGTTCAGGATGAGGAAGGATACGTTCTTTTTGTACGGAAAAACGCTTTGCAAGTGCTTATACCGAAGTATGGCTTGGAGGGCACTTTGTATCTAAATAATTCCGCTTCATCGTCCGTCACGTTCGTGTACAATTCAGAGGATCAATCCCAAACCTGCGGGAACATCGTATTTCGGGCATTTGATCCTATTGTCATACAGATGAGCTTGGACAGATCGAATGTCCAGCATGAAAAATTATTTTTCAAACTCGTGAAACCAGAGGTAAGGAAAGCGAGACGTGCGAGGACATTCGTAACACTTTTAACGGTTTTTGCTCATTTGTTTGATTACAGATTCCAGGTTTCAGCGTTCCTCCATTAAATACGAAAACTGTTGGCGCCACCGAAGAAAATTCTACGAAGGAAACGTTTAAACGGAAGCCAGAAGACCTTCAGCAGGAGTCGACCAGTGTTCATAATAAGAAAGCCGGAAAGAAAAAGAAAAAAAAGAATTGACATTAGTCTATTTTTTTTTAAGTATAATGCGAATTATACAATAAAAAAATATAGACATTGATTTTTATAAAAATTTTGTATTTTCTTTCACTACTTTTTAACATTATATTCACAACTTATAAAGTCTTTATAACAAGACAGAAATTTTCAATAAATCGTTCTTACACAATATTTCCCACAGGAAACTTATGTACATAATTACGCAGACATAAATGTCTGATAATTTCTCTCATTGAATTATTAGTTCAAAATGTGCTCTTTCACACAATCGAAACTCATTATTAAATACTTAAAATTTTTCATTGTATTTGTGAAAAATTTGATGGCAAGCAGCAAACATAATCCTCATGAGATGTATAAAGCGTCACTTGAAAATTAAAACGAAAAATGAACGATTGAAATAAAAAATAATTAAAAAAAGAAAAATACAATTCACTGGATTTAATTGATAGAAGTAAAAAGTTAGCATGCTTTTGACGTTAAAACGATAAATAAAATGTAATGAGTATAGTAATGTATATAGATTTAGTTGTACGCAATACACTGAAATGGTGATGCACTTCTTAAAAATACTGTAAAAACTCATATGAGCTTTTATGTATGATCAAATCTTAAGTTAATTATATAATGTATAAAATCAACTCTAATTGCAGGCAGTCTCAAGTTTGCTGAAAAATTGTCAACGTATAGTATCAGATAAAAAAAAAATTAATTTAGAAGTACGTTTTACGTTTGACTAGCACGATAATAAATAATAAAAAAAATTACTTAGTGCCGATACAAATTAACGAATTGTTTTTCTTGTAATAATTCAATGAGAGAATGCTTGAGCAATATGTTGAATAAATTTGTGGCGCCTCTGACTGTGACATAGCACTTGATGATCCTCTGAAAAATAGGCAATATGCGATATAAACAAGTCCAAGTCGTAACGAGAAAAAAAAAGAGAATTTAATTAATGTACCCATTCAACGTTTTGATGAAATCTTGAGTAGGCCACAGCCGTACGATTCCGTCTAGGCTCGCGCTAGCGATGTATTGGCCATCCAAGCTCCAGTCCACATTCATGACTGTATCTTTATGGCCTTTCAGTTCAGTCAGCAAACCATTAGATGCCAAATCCCATATGGATATGGACTTATCGTCACCTGATTAACGTAGTTTCCGTTGAAGGACAATTCGTTGGATGTGATTTTGATATTATCTTATATCGATTTTTTATAAGGTACATATAAAATACCTGCAGCGGCCAGGTATTTGCCATCTGGACTAAAAGCCAAGGTGTAAATGGTCGATTGCGCTCCAACGTATACCCGCAGTAGATTCCCATCATCTTTCCCCCATAATCTTATCGTTTTGTCAGCGGAACCGGTCGCTAAATACCTTGCATTTGGATGAAATTTTATGCACTGAAACAAAAGATACGTAAAACAAATTATATCACTATGATATTGTGAAATAAACGTAGGTTGTAAAAGAGATTAAAAAACATACATTAACATCTAAAAAATGTCCAGCAAATATTCTCAAGGGAAATGTTCTGTCCAATGACCACAATTTTGCAGTTCTGTCGTGTGAACCTGTGCCGATATACAAATTGAACACACTGGTATCCATGCACCATATAGGATAGCTATGACCGCTGCAACGAGAAAAATCTGTCTATGTTTCATCTACAATATATTATTTTGTATCATTCGTTCTTCTATTTTAACAAAAGTTACGAGTCTGTAGAAAAAAAATCATCGAAACCAACAAGGACTTTGACTAAAAAAAAAGATTTATTTTGAAACTGCAAGTTTATCTTTATTTGATTCATAGTTAAAAATTGTAGTCTATAAAATGAAAAATTGCGAATATTTTTTATACGACTGCGAAATTTGCCGTCGTTCCAAAATCGCCTTAATTCTTTATGAAAAGAATTTATTAGAGAAACAGAATTGCTTACCTATATATTGCTGTACATGAGTAATTATTGAGTCGCCATGCTCTCATATCTTTGTCGCTCGATACGGAAAGAAGAATATCCACCTCTGGAATGAACCTTAAATCGTGCACTACGTCCGTATGTCCTCTTAATATTATCGCCCCTGCCTCGCTTCTTCTGTTATCGTAAAATTATGTAATTTCATCATCAGGATATCGCACTCAAAAATAAGAAGAATGATAATACAATTGCAACTCACACTGTGCTCTCTTGCTCGTTGAGTTTACAAAATGACGGTATATCACAGGCAGACGGAACACACGTTTGCTTGTCTGTCGTTTTGACCAAGACAGTCTCGCCTATACCCCACAAACGTATTTCGGCCGTACTAAAACCCACGGCTAACTTGTCCATTCTAGGCGCGATAAGACCGCAACTTGCACTGCAACAATGAAAAAGGAGATAAAATTAACTGTAAGTAATGAAAATAAGAATCATAAGATAGATAATGATCTGTTATTTACTTTTCTACCGCATTCTTCACTGTAAATAATCTTAACGGTTGATGAGCATTATTCTGTATTAATCGTATGGCCTCCTGCAATTCCCTCATTTCGCGATCGACACCGGTACCGGACGGTTGTTCCACATGGCCGTTAATACTCGCTTCGTATCTCTGACTTTTCTCTTCAGGTACTTCTCCGTCCATCTGAGGGCTGTCTGCCTTTCTAATTATTGTGATGTGGGTATTTATAATCTACACAGAATTGTAAGAAATTAAAGTTCATTGCTGCGAAAATAAATTAATCAAGAGACTTGATCGGGGAGTACAGGGATAATTACAACAAAAGATCTTTCGATGTTTCGGATATTATCAACGATATTATAGATCCGATACAAGGAAGACTTTGTGTTAATTTAAACACTGACTGCAAGACACGTATTGAAACAAAAGTTTATATTTATTTTCAATTTTGACGTTTTAAGTAAAAGAAATTATTTTGACACAAATGCAATTCAAAGTCTTAATGGTAATATGTATTATCTAAAATTAAAATCAAAATGTTTGTGTATAAAATTAACTTTTTTAATTAGTATGTGATTTATGTAAAAAGGCTTCTCTGCAGAATTTGGATGGAAATAAAGATATATTAAAAAAGAAACCAATTATATATACCTGCATTAATATTATGTGCCCATATTTGGTAAGATATTGTCTCAGGCAAATATGTGCCGATTCGGACAGGTCTACTTTATACTTTCTAGTTCTGAACGCGTTCACCAAAGGTCTCAGCTCAATGTCTTGCACCGAAAATACACTAGACAACTCTTCCAAGAAGTCCTTCTCCGTGTCGCTGACAAACTCGTTCTGATGCGTCTTTAGGAATTGAATCGCAGCCTGCCGATTACCGGCGTGCAGCATCTCTAAATAAAGGTGACAAAATATCGGATACAAAAGTCCTTGCAGCTCCGCTCTTATCTTCTCGTTGAGTATGACGCTTATCCATTTTTTCAATCTGCAAAGAGAATTGTAACTTGAGCAAAAATCGCGTTAAAATCAATTTGTTATATTTGCAAAAAAAAAAGGCTTTCACAAATCAATTAACATCATTCACTTTCCAATCGAAATTTCAATTTTAAATTATAATTCCGTCAAAAATTCATACTTTTATCTTCGAAATGTTGCAAATAAAATCTAATTATCGTCATAACAGCCTCCCGTTGACAAATGCAACGAAAATTGTCTCTCTCTTGAGCAGTCGAACTCGAAATGTCGCGTGAAAGCTACACCAACCACACGTCGTGATATAATGAAAAATAAGAATATAAAATATTAGAATCTAGAATTAGCATTGGATTGAATCGATCGAACAACAAAGTGCCTCTATCCCGCTAAATCGGACGGAGTAATTGCGTCGTGCGCGGTTTTCGGAAGGAAGCTCCAAGTCCCGCAACGACCGTACCGCTGATAAGCCTGATCCGCCGCGGTGATGTCAACGGTGATGGCACTGAAGACAATCGAGTTCCCCTGCGAGGTGCCGCACTCCACGGTCGCGCTCAGCGTCGTCTGGTCGCCGTTCTGGCAGAGCGAGTGGTCGCCCTTGCGTAGGGCGTAAACGTCGTGGGTCTGGAAAGAAAGGGAGCAGGTAAGCGGCGAGCGGGCGAGAGAGGGAGAGGTTATGGGCGCACACGGTTCGCCGATGGCCGAACCACGCTGCGGCGTGAGAAACACCGCACCTGATAGTGACGCCGCTTCAGATAAGACTCGATCGTCGCGCTGATCACCTCGCTCTTCATCCGCTTCATCTTCATCGAGGCCCGGCGACGGCGAATCTCATGAATCCCGCGACGACGGTGCCCCGGGTGACCGGGGATCCCTGCGAACGGGGGGGAGAAGATGCGTGACAGTACGGGATCACGGGGCACAAACACCCCGCCTGGCGGGGAAGGAAGGAAAGGAGAGGAATGTGTGCGCGCCGCCGATGTATACTCGCCATAGATCTAACAGATGTAAGATACGCATAACGCAATCGACTCCCTGGCCCGGCTGGTCGCGTGCGGGCTTTAGTCCTGGAATACAATAGGTGTAGGAAGCCTTAAGCCTTAAGAAATTGACCAATCATAAAAGATTATTCCCTTCAAATTCAACTACGATTGGTCAGTTTCTTACGACTTAAAAGGCTTACAACTTCTATTGTGTTTTGGGCTTAACCCAAACATTCTTGAAAAGTCACGATGACATGAAGATGACATCAAAATAATAATTTAATTCACTGACAAGATACTATTAAGGTCCATCTACAAGATGAGAGTAATAAATTGTAAGCCGTAAGAAATTGACCAATCACAGTCAAATATGAGAAGAATAATCGACTGTGATTGGTCAATTTTTTACGGCTTACGACTTACTGCTCTCATTGTAGATGGACCTTAAGTCCCGAAATACAATAGATGTAGTAAGCTTTAAGTCGTAAGAAACTGACCAATTAAGGTCCGTCTACAATGAGAGTAGTAAGTCGTAAGCCGTAAGAAATTGACCAATCACAGTCGATTATTCTTCTCATATTCGAATGTGATTGGTCAATTTTTTACGGCTTACGAC